CTTTGCAAGAAGATCTTCGAAAGTACAGGCAATCAAAACTCTTGGAAGCAGCACAAGGAAGAAGAAGTCTCAAGAAGTACCGCAGAAACCTTCTCGATTATCGTGTTCCGCTGACAACATTACTAAACGAAGACGGGACTCGCACATCTTCCCGACAAGAGATGGAATCGGTCACGATGAGATTCTACGCCAATCTCTTCCGCTCATCAACACCCATTTCAAACCCCGTCATTCCCACTGGAGAAATACCACCAAGGATTCTACCTTTTGAAGTACGCGCCGCAGTTTCGGTCGACCTCTTACGAGATGGAGGACATCGAATGCACGAGATACTTGCGGTACATCTAACATCCTACCTTCAATAGGAAAGGAGCCCCGACCAATGGAGAACCTCACGAACAATTTTTCTTCATAAGAAGAGCGATAGGGAGGATCTTCGGAACTACCGTCCTCTGCGAGCGTGCATTACAAGCTCTTTACGAAAATTATTCTCCCTCACATGCAAGGACACTGGATAAAGCCCAACCTATAAAACAAGCTGGATTTTGCCAGGGATTAAGCTGTGTGGATCACATCCAGACAGCCATATTGTCAGCGCTCCTCGACCAAGAGGTGGATACGTGAGGACATTGGCCGACTGGTACAGGAACTGCTCTATAACGGTACAACTTTTCCATCGTCCCCTTAACATACCATCCTCAAAGGGAGTTCGACAAGGCGACACCGTGTCGCCAAAGCTGTTTACCGCCGCGTTGCAGTGGATGATGAAATGGATTCGAAAGAGAGAGGTATACGAGTTAATAGGAGATTCCTCTCGAACCTTCGTTTTGCGGACGACTGTTCTCTTTTCGAAAAATATCACTGAAGCGGAGACGATGTTGAAGGAACTAAACCAAGTAGGGAAGTAGATAGGACTGTGAATCAACCGGAAGAAGACTCAGTTCATGAAGAACGCTTTTTGCGAGGATCAGAAAATGGAATTAGAAGGCTCTCCAATCGCGGAGACGTCTTCTTACGTATATCTCGGGCGTTCAAAGAACGTGGAGAACGATTTGAAAGAGGAACTAAACAGGAGGCAAAGCAGCTTGGGCCGCCTACGGGCCCCTAAAGGAAGCCACAGACCAGCTGAAGGACCCAAAGTTCCGAGCCCACCTGTTCTCCCTTCGCTCTGCTACCCAGCAGAGACGTGCCCTAACTCTGTGGCTACGTCAAAGGCTCTCCGAACAACCCACAGAGCGCTGAAACGACGTCTTCTGAAGTACAACCGGCGCACTCAACATCTCGTTGGACTTCGCAGTTCAGATATGAAATCAATGTCTTGTCTTCGCGATCCAGCGGAATACGCCTCTAAGGCAAGGCATCGATGGGCTGGTCATATAATGAGAAGGACAAACGACAGATGGACACTAAAAGCTCTGGAATGGATTCCTCACGAAGCAAAACGTCCTCGAGGGAGGCCACCGACCAGAAGGCTGACGTGTTCGTTACACGGATGGACCAGCTGAATTCTCAGCTGATCACGATTATTGGATCTGGATCTTGCGAACGTCGCCGCCGCAGTTTAATCCAATATCGATGAGGCCAGCGAGATATAGAAACGGATGGAAACGCCGTGGACTGCACGACAAGTGAAGCCAGGCCATCTAATTAGCTAAGTATCTAAGTAAATAATAAGTAAGGTGCGAATATCAAAAAGTCAATATTTAAGAAAAACAGTTTGATTACTCAATTGGTGGGATATCTCTCGGGCCCAATTTCATTCGAACAGTCAATATTCGAGGCCCCACTATTTGACTACCTTCATTTGAATGTAATTTTATATGGTCATTGAATTACATTCAAATTCGATTCATTCATTTGATATCTATATCAAACTAT